GTTGGTCATGGTGAGTTGGTCATGGTGCGTTGGCCTTGGTGGATTGGCCATAGCGAGTTGGTCATGGTGAGTTGGTCATGGTGAGTTGGTCATGGTGCGTTGGCCTTGGTAGATTGGCCATGGCGAGTTGGTCATGGTGGGTTGGCCATGGTGAGTTGGTCATGGTGCATTGGCCTGGGTGGATTGGCTATGGCGAGTTGGTCATGGCAAGTTGGCCATAGTGTGTTGACCATGGCGAGTTGGCATTGGTGAGTTGTCCAATGTTGGCATTGGTGAGTTGTCCCATGGCGAGTTAGCTGTTGCGAGTTGGTCATCGTGGGTTGGCCATGGCGAGTTGGCTGTGTGAGTTGGCTGTAGCCCAAAGTGGCTTGGGTAGGGGGCTTCTTATTGCCAAGTCGCAAGAGCCTCTGTGTTTAAGAGTGATGTGGGACCCTTCCTCTTTCAGCCTGAGCGGCGCCTCCCCCTTCTTGGGGGAAACGAAGCAGGAGACCCTGACCAACATTTCGGCTGTGAATTATGACTTTGACGAGGAATACTTCAGCAACACCAGCGAACTGGCCAAGGATTTCATTCGGAGACTGCTTGTCAAGGACCCCAAGTAAGAGGCGAGGATGGTGGGGGACAATGGGGTGAGGAGGGGTGGGAGACATTTAATTTGATGGAGACCTTCTTGGAATCCAGCAGAAGAATCAATATCAAAAAATACTGGTAGTTCTCGATTTACAGCCATTTGTTTTGCACCTGTTTGGAGTTATTAAAGGAACTTACGACAGGTCCTCACACTTATGACCGTCTCAGTGTCCCCCCCACAGTCAGGTGATAAATTTTCAGGTGCTTGGCAACTGGCAGGTATTCACGAGGGTTGCAACCTTCTGGGGTCACGGAATTGCCATTTACGACTTTCCCAAATAAGCAAAGACATTGCAGGCAGCCTGATTTGCTTAAGGACTACATGGTTCGCTTAATGACCATGGCAGAAAGTTTATAAAATCAGCTGAGGTCACATGAGGACTCCCTGAATGACTGCATCACTTAGCGTCAGGATTTCTGATCCCGATTGTGGTCGCAAGGCAAGAACTACCTGTAAATACGAATGTTACCAATAAAGGAGATTATTTGTAGCTCTGGGTTTAAAGGAGGAGTTCTTGGTGCTCTCTGGGCTTGGTGGTTTTCTGGCAGATGTTTCAGAGCCCAACTAGGGAACATTATCAGTGCTAGAAGGAAGTAGAGTTTGTGGAGAGAGGAGGAGAAGGAGGAGGATTGTGGGGTTCTTGGTGCTCTGAGCTTGCTTGTTTTCATTGCTCAAACTAGGTAGCATCATAAGTGCTAGAAGGGACGGGGTTTCATGGGGAGGAAGAGGAGGAGGAGGTGGAAGAGGAGGAGGAGCTAGAAGAGGAGGAGGAGGAGGAGGAGGAGGAGGTCTAACTGTAACTATCCAGGACTAATTGTATCTACCCAGTCTTGGAAAGACTGCAGTGTAAAGTTGATGGACAAATCTGGACCTAAAATTCGTGCAACGGTACTACAAAACCCCATGTTTCAAGTATTACAAAGTCCATCCTGTGTGGCCCACAATGGTCTTATATTCTCTCTCTCGAAAAGCTGAGTATATAAGTTGGGAGCAGAATAAGGAAGCCACACCCGAAGTTTGGCCTGGGTTGTCTCCCTTCTCCTCCTGAATTGGTGATTGTGCGCAGGCAATATTCCCAAAACAGTCCTGAGGGATGATGGTCAGTGATCCAGAAGGACGCTGAAGTTTGGCTAGGATCTCTGCAACCGGCAAGAATGGAATCTCACTCTCCTTTTTTCCCCTGTATATTTTGCATCGATCCTAGAATTGACTGTTGCTCCTTGTAATGATTGCAGGAAACGGATGACAATTGAGCAAAGTTTGGAACATCCATGGATCAAGGTAAACACTAAGTTGTTCAAAAAATTCTTGACATTTAAGTTCATTTGCCTCCCACCTTACGAATCTATGATTCTGTGACCTCCCAGGTCCCTTCCAGCCCTATGAGTCTATGGTCTCCCAGGTCCCTTCTGGCCATAGGAATCTATGACCTCCCAGCTCCCTTCCAGCTCTTTGATCTCCCAGGCCCCTTCCAACTCTATGGGTCTATGTTTTTCACACTTACGACCGTTGCAGCATCCCCAGGGTCATGTGATCAGAATTCAGATGCTTGGCCATTGACTCATATTTATGATGACTGATCCCCTTTTGCGACCTTTTGACCAGCAGAGTCAACGGGGGAAAAAAGATTCACTTAACAACCGTGTGACTCGCTTCACAACGGCAGTGATTCACTTCCCCACTGTGGCCAGAAAGGTTGTAAAATGGGGCCAAGTTCGCTTAAGAAATAACCTTGCTTAGCAAAGGAATGTGTGCTGACCCAGGGCGTGGCACAAAAGCAACAAAGTCATAAAAGTAGGTAAAATCCCTTTAATTCCTCCAACTTGGCCCCCAATGTCCAGTTATCCTCGGCTGGAGAAAAAAAACTCTCCCAAGAACAGTTTTTAAAGGGAAGCTATTCTGTCCAAACCCACAGTACATATAAATTATAAATAAAAACAAACATAAACCACGCTTCAGCAATTAACGAGACGGGGCAGGATAAGGAATTGCAGACTTCAAATGATAATGAAACACCCAGGTAGGAGGACGCCAGAACCCAGATAAGACTTGACAAACAAAGATAATGCACGCTTTGCTTCCAGCAAGGTGCTGTGTGCAAATGCCCTTTTTAAATACTGTTTCCCCAGCTGCAGCTAATGAAGGGAATCAGGGCCCTTTCCTCCCCCATAAACCACGCAACTCACGTTGCTCCCTTCTCCATTCCTCCCTGCGTGCCCTAGGATAAAGAGGGGTGGGTGGGCCTGGGTCTTCCTCTGAAGACCCAGCCGGACTGTGCCCTTCCCCAGTTTCCTCCACCGCCACCGGAGCCATACTCCCACTTCCTGTCAGCTGTTCAACCTCCCCCTCGGAATCAGACTCCAACAGGGGCATGACAGAACGGAAGGGAAATTTAGGGCACAAGTGGGGTTGTAGATTGAGGACTACCTATAATGGAGCTTCTCAGAAAACGGTTGGTGAGATCATGAGGGTGGTGGGGGAGGAGAGGGATGAACAAGTCCACCAATCCTGAGATCTCCCCCCCTTTTTTTAAAATCAGGTGATCAAAAGGAGGAACGTCCGCAACGAAGACAACGGCAAGAAGCCAGAGCGACGGCGCCTGAAGACCACACGGCTGAAGGAGTACACCATCAAGTCTCACTCCAGTATGCCGCCCAATAACACCTACATCAACTTCGAACGCTTCTCCAAGGTCATGGAAGAGGTGGCAGTGGCCGAGGAGAGTCTGCGGGAGCTGCAGCAGAGTAAGAAGTCCTTCCGGGAGGACATCGAGGCCCTACGGTCCATCTATGAGGAGAAGGAGTTGTGGTACAAGGAGGAGAACCAGGCCATCAGTCAGGACCTCCGTCAAATCCAGCAGGAGATGCAGAAGACGGAGACCCTCAAGCGGCAAGCTCAGGAAGAAGCTAAGAGTACCTCGTTGGCGGCCAACCGGCTGAAACGGCACCTCCGGAAGCTGGAGAACCGCTACGAGGCCCTTGCCAAGCAGATGGCCTCTGAGATGAAGTTTGTCCAAGAGCTGGTCCGTTCGGTGGAGCTGGAGAAGCTACAGGTCGGAGAAGACGACTGTGGAATTCGCTAATGGCACCTTCTGATCAAGTGGGAGAAGGTCATCTCTTCTGGGTCAAGTCAACCCATCTTAGATTCTCCTACCCATCCTTCCAGGGGCCAGGAAACCCACTGGCTCCTTCTCCCCCATTGAATCATTTCCAAAATTCCACGTTCCATCATGCAACGCTTCTGCTAGTAACCCCGCATGGAGGGAAAAAATTGTGCATGCGGACAACTTTCACGTTCCTTCATCTGGAGGTGGGATGGGACGCGTGTGAAATGCAGACCCCAGCAGGAGTCAGCAAGAGGGTCTCTCGGCCACCAGGGACGCCCCCTTTTCCCCACTGGCTGACGCTTTCTTGAGAACCTCAAACTTTGGAGATAATCTGGAAACCGTTCTCCCTGCAAGAGTTTTCCTGCTACAGAGGGTCAGGGAGAAGATGTATTCTCATGGATGTTGAGTTTCTGCAAACGTGATCCTCAACCCCAGAGGGGCATGACTTTCTAACTCAACTCCTCTAGGACAGCCCATATTTTGTCGAGAATTAACCAGGATTCCTGGGGTCTAGAAGTCAAGTTGGGTAGGGCGAGGGGGGGCGGGCAGTTCCAGAAAAATCTTTAAAAGTTTCCCAATTTTGCAAGGGTTTCAGGAGGGAGGGCGTCTCTCTTGAATTGTGGCTTCACCCATTAAGCTGGGTTGCAGGGGCAGAATTGCCAAGAACCTTTAAAACAAACCCACATTTATTTAAAACCAGGTTTTAAGATTTTACTTTTCACCGGGAGGGTGGGGTGGGGTGGAGTCTATCTTCTTCTGCCCTGTTCTTTTGGACTTCCGACGGGTCGCAAGACGCCGTTTCCTTAAGTTTGTGTATTTTAATTTCCGTGTTGGGGAACAGCAGTTTTTTTTTCGGTGGTCCGCGAGTAAACTTTTTGCCAAAAAAAAGAAAGAAAGAAAAAGGCAGAACACCCACCTCACGACGGTTCCTTGAGTGAACTTGGCATCATCTCGGTTTACCATTTGGGTGGGGCTTCAATCTAATATCAGGCTTTACTGGGAGCCACTGGTCTTACTGGGAATAGTGGTCGAGACAGTCCTGGGGGGGGGGGGGGGGGTGGGGGTGGGGGGAGAGATCCCCCTCCAACCAACTTACATTTTTATTTAATGTATTTATCAAACTGGTATCACCTCGCAGTGCTTTGCTCCTTCCTCCTGGCTCCTTCTGTTCCTTTGAACTATCCTGCTTTGGAGCCGTTGGTGGGATTCTACCAGTTTCCCTACCACTTTGGTGATCCCGCACTTTGCGTGCGCGCACAGCTTTCCATACACCAGCTGAGGCTCTGCCACGCCAATCAGCTGCGAGGATAAAAAAGATAAAGGCGCATGTGCTTTTCTCCTCTTAGGTGATCATCGCCGAACTGGTAGCATTTGTTTTGCTACCGGTTCCGGTAGCCTTTCACCAATGCTTTGGAGGGCTTTCCTTGGGATCCAAAATATTTAGAAAGTCTCACCCTCTCTTTCAAACCAGGGACTGTCTCTTGAGTGGGAATGGCTTATCGCTCCTTCGACCAATGAATAAATAACGCCGAATTTCTTTTTTTGGAAACGTTGGCTTGTCTTTTAAAAGCCGGCTTAAGGCTTCGGTCAGCCAGGCTGGCTGCGCTTCTGATGCCACATCTAAACCTTCTTTTCTTCGCGCAGATTTATTTTCTCTTTTTTCCGAAGCTGGTCACCTATGCTGAGGGAGCATCTATTTTGTAGCCTTCTTTTTAGCAGTTAAGAATTCCTGGCTTCCAAGGCAGGCAGAGTGGAAGATGTGTGCTACATAAGCACTTTTAACTTCTGGGTTTTATTTAATTTATATTTTTGAAAAACCAGCCCGTAGAGAACCGTTGTGTGATGACCCGGGGCAAGGCACAGAGTCAATGAGTCCAGGAAGCAAAGGAACAAGGCAATTAATCCAGGAAGCAAGAATTAAAGCGAGAAGTGCAGGAAACGGCAAACGTCGGCAACGACACACAACACTCCACAAATTCAGCATTTGTTCCCGACAAGTGCCCCTCCCCACAGCGTCTCCTTAAGGCTCAGTCCCCAGGTGTGCCTTGTGAAAAGGGGGAGGCACTCTCCTCCCGAGTCATCGGGTCAGCCTGCGCTGTTCCCGCCTTCGCTCCACTCTCCGTGCTCAGGGATCGGGAGGGTGGTGGTCCTTATTCATTGCCTGAGCAATTTCACTCCTAATGTTCACTGCTGGCCCTCTCCCGGTTGTCCTACCCCTGTCCCTCCCTGCCTACAAGCCAGTCCAATCCTGAAAGGCCCTGGCATGACTCGGCCTGCTCCTCCCTCCCTCGATCTCTGGGTTGCAGCTCCGGCTCATCTTCCTCCACAGCAACTTTGGACCAATCACCAGGAGATGGGGAGTTCTAGTCCCACCTTAGGTGTAAAAGCCAGTTGGGTGACGTGTCAGTCACCAGGAGACAGTGAATTCTAATCCCATTTTAAGTATCAAAGCCAGTGAAGTGACTTTGGGCCAATCACTAGATGTGGAGTTATACTCCCACCTTAGCCATGAGAGCCACCTGAGTGACTTTTCGGGCCAATCACCAGGAAATGGGGAGTTCTAGTCCCACCTTAGGCATGAAAGCCAATTGAATGACCTTGGGCCAATCCATTCCTCTCTGCCCAACCCACATCACAGGGTTGTTGTGGGGAAAAGAAAAGAAGGAAAGTGTGCCAGATATGCCCACCGCCTTGAGTTATTCGTAAAAACACTGTAATAAAAGACGGGTTACAAATGAAACAAATGGAGATGCCGCTCGAGTATATATCTATTAGGTGCAAATATAAAAAACCTGTGTGCATTTTATGAGTTGCATTGATCACACATAACTCTAGGATGGAAGGATGGAGCCAAAGAAGGGGAGACTGCTTGCTTTTTTAACAGAGCAGCTAAGTGCCACGAGTGCACCCCGCATGCGTGTCTGCGCGCATACACAGGCCCACAAACATGCTATCTGGTTACACTACTATTGACAATCTTCGTCCTTGCAAATCCTGTCTTATAGCTATGCTAGAATTTGCAGCTGAGCTCCGAATTCCTGCTCTGTTTTGGTGAGCCTTTGTTAAATTGCTCGGAAAAGGACCAGGTGCAGATGGAAAAAGAGGACCTCAAGAGGCTAAAGAAGGCGAGTCCGTATTGTGAGGAGGGAGTTTAGCTTTTATTACCAGGTTTCTCCAAAAATAAGACCTGGTCTTATATTAATTTTTGCTCCAAAAGACGCATTAGGTCTTATTTTCCAGGTAGATCTCATTTTTGGGGGGAAATATGGTACTAAAATGCATCCATCTGGCTGACGATCTTAATGGGCTTATTTTTGGGGTAGGGCTTACAGCAATAGCAATAGTACTTTAGACTTATATACCACTTTATGGTGCTTTCCAGCCTTCTCTAAGCAGTTTACAGAGTCAGCCTCTTGTCCCCAACAATTTTAGATCCTCATTTTACCCACCTCAGAAGGACGGAAGGCTGAGTCAACCTTAAGCCTGGTGGGATTTGAACAGCCAAATTGCAGGCAACTGGCTGCAGCAGAACTAGCTTGCAGTACTGCACTGTAACTACTGCACTGCCGAGGCTCTATAATTATATAGTATATATATTATAATTATATTAGGAACATTCTGAAAAATGCTAGGGCTTATTTTCCAGTTGGGTTTTATTTTGGGGGGAAAGCAGTATTTGCGGCCAATCCTTTCTGGGCAGAAAACCTTGTAAAAGCCCAAGAATTTCAGTAGAGAATCAACCTTTTTCGGGATCTCCCATCCCTGTTAAAAAAAAAACAAAAAACAGGGAAGGCTTCAAGCAGAAACTTTTCAGTTGGAAATCTGCTTGGCCCATCAGCCACTTCTCAGGCAAATAGACTTATTTGGCTGTGGAATTGTGACTGCAGACAACACGGAGTTGTAGGGGGGGAATAAATACTGTAGAAAATAGGCACAAGATGCAGAAGGCTCTTGGCAGGCTCTATCCCACAAACTACAATTCAGTGATGATAAAAAGCAAGGTTTTGCACTTAGGCAAGAAAAACCAAAGAGCAGTCACTGTGAGAGGGATCTTAGGAGTCCCCAGTGGACAATCATTTTAAGTATGAGCCAGCAGCATGTGGGGGCAAGCAAAAAAGCCAACACAATCCTAAGTTGCATTAGCAGAAGGGATAGTATCAAGACCATAAGAAGGGATACTACTGCCCTACCCTGTCCTAGTGAAGTCACACTTCGGATACTACATTCAGTTATGGTCACAATATAAACAAGATGTTGAGATTCTGGAAAGTGCAGAGAAGAGCAACAAAGAGGATTAGGGGATTGGAGGCTAAAACATGAACGGTTGCAGGAACCGGGTACGTCTAGTCCAGTGGTGGCTAACTTTTTTTGGCTCCCGTGCCGATAATTAATTGCGTGCGCTCCTGTGCCAGCACCCAGAAGGCAATGTGTGCTGCCCCCCCCACCCCCTGTGCATGCTCACGTGACCCCCCCTCATGCGCCACAAGTCTGTGCATGCGCACATGATTCCCTCATGCGCCGCGTGTCTGCACATGTGTGCGCGATTCCCCCTCGTGCGCTGCACATCATTGTGCATGCACATGCAATTCCACCCCATGGACTGTGCATCAGCGCATGCATGCGAGATTCCCCCTCCTCCCCTGCGCACCTCTGCATGCATGTGCGTCTCGCGCGCAGCTCCTTCCACCCCCTGTGCATGCACGCCAGATACCCGGCAATCAGCTGTTGGGCAACGGTGCACACGCATGTGCAGTGGGGCTCTTCCAGTCGACCTCTCACGTGCCAGGGGAAATGGCTCTGCATGCCACTTCTGGCACACGTGGCATAGGTTTGCCAACACGGGTCTAGTCTTAATGAAAAGAAGGACCAGGGGTGACATGACAGCAGTGTTCCAATGTTTGAGGGGCTGCCACAGAGAGGAAAGGGCCAACTTATTTTCCCAAGCACCAGAAAGCAGGACAAGAAGCAACAGATGGAAAATAACCAAGGAGAGAAACAACCTGGAATTCAGAAATTTCCTGACAGAAAGAACAATAAACCAGTGGAACAGCTCACCTTCAGAAGTTGTGGGTGCTCAGGGGGAAGAATTTTGGATATGGGATCGATTTAGAGAAATGGCAAAAATTGTGGTCTCAAAATTATAAAATGACAATGTCAACAGCATATAAAGAAAATTTGTATAAGATGTTTTACAGGTGGCATTCCCCCCCGACAAGAATAGCAAGAATGTTCAAGAATAAATCTGAAAAATGTTGGAAATGTCATCAGACACCTGGCTCATATTACCATATGTGGTGGACTTGTGCAGATGCTAAAAAATACCAGACTAAAATCCACATGTGGTTGGAAAAAATGACAAAAAAAAACATATAGACTTGAAACCAGAGATATTTTTATTGGGAATTTTACCTGAAATATATAGTAAAGACTTGAAATACCCGATTGTAAATGTATTAACAGCGGCTAGGATTGTATTTGCTAAAAACTGGAAAAATGAGAAAGTACCATCACAGGAGGAAATCATTAAGAAAATATTGGAATCTGCTGAAATGAGTAGATTGACATTTGAAATTAGAGAACAAGATGATAAACAATTTTATAAAATTTGGGATCTATTCTATCAATGGTTAGACAATAAAATACAGTAATGAAATACGTAGACTTTTAGAAAATAATAAATATATAAAGATGTATTCTTTTCTTATATCTACAAAATGATTTTAGGATAGATTTGGGATGATAATATGAACTGTTATAAAATAAACTAAGTAAATTATGACTATCCTGTAAAACATGAATGAATAAAAGTATAGTCAAATGATTGATTAATAATGATACTAAGGTATTTAATTTTTGATTGACAATATGAGATTATATGCAATGTAATTGTAATTGAAGACTATGAAATGGAAGCACAAAACAATTTGTAAACCAACCGGCACACTGTATGTACCCCTATGGAAGATAGCTTGATGTTTTTATGTTTTGTTTGTTTATGTTTGTTTTTAAAAACCAATAAAATTTATTTTTTTAAAAAAGTTGTGGGTGCTCCAACACTGGAAAATTTTAAGAAGAGACTGGACAGCCACCTGTCTGAAATGGGATAGGGTCTCCTGCTTAAGAAGGGGGCTGGACTAGAAGACCTCCAACTCTGTTATTTTTCACAATGTCCATGCCAATGCTGGCTCATATTTAACTGATTGTTCACTAAGACTCCAAGATCCCTCTCACAGCTACTGCTATTAAGCCTGGTGAAACAGGTGTGGAAGGAGCCCTTTACACCAAGGGTCAGGGTGTCTATGGGTATCAAAAAAGAGTCAAGATGGCGGCTACAAGCACCTGATCGAAGCCCCGCCCCTTTTGAAATGCAAATGAGTGTTGCTTGCAATAGCCATTAGATATTTATGGAGTTATTTTTGCAGGATATTCACAGTAATATTAAGGGAGCGGGGAAAAGGTGAGAGGGGCATTCGTTTTCTCTTCAATGAGCTTTGAAGGCGATTGCTTCTTACGGATGGGCAAAGGTGCCAAGCAAGGGTTTGGTTCTGCGCCCCAGAATGTGGGCCCAGGGTCGAGCCAGATGACCTCTTGGTTCTTCGCTCCATCCTCCTTCTCCAGCAGAGAGTTGAGGTTGAATGGGATGTCTTGGGATTCAGGTGTCCTTGGTGACAACAAAGGCCTCTCAAGTTCCTGGACTCTCTTCAGAAACTGCTGGCAGGTCAGAAGGTAAATAGATGGAGGAAAGGGGGAAGGGGAAAGGGAAGGGAGTAAATGGATGAAGAAGGGAAGGAAAGGGGTAAGGGAGAGGAGAAAAGGGAGGGCAGGGGAGAAGGAAGAGGAAGGAAGAGAAGGGTGGGTAGATAGAGGAAAGGAAGGAAAGAAGATGGATGAAGGGAGGAAGGAATGATGGAGGGAGGGAGGAAGGAAGGAAGGAAAAAGGGGAAGTGGTGGATAAGGAAGGAAGGAGAAAGATGGTAGGGATATATGGATGAGAAAAAGGAAGGAAGGGATAGATGGATGAAAGAAGGAAGAAAGGATGAAGGGAGGGAAGAAAAAGGAAGTGATGGATGGGTGAGGGAGGGAGGAGAAAAGGTAGGGATCGATAGATGAGAAGGAAAGGAAGGAAGGGATAGATAAAAGAGGGAAGGAAGGAATGATGAGGAAGAGGGAAAAGGGGTAGTGATGGTTGGGTGAGGAAGGAAGGAGAAAGAAGATAGAGATAGATGGATAAAAAAAGAAAATGAAAGAAGAGATGAAGGAAGGAAGGAAAGAAGGAAAAGAAGGAAGGAGAAAGAAGATAGAGATAGATGGATAAGAAAGAAAGAAAAAAGGGAGGGAGGGAGGAAGGAAGGAGAAAGAAGATTGGGATAGATGAATGAGAAAAGGAAGGACAAAGGAAGGAAGGAAAGAAGGGATGGATAAATGAATGAGAAAGAGAGAAGAAAGGGATGAAAAAGGGACAGAAGAAAAAAGTGAAAAAACAAAAGGAAAGAGGGAGGAAGGGAAAGAAGGAAGGAAATTACAAGTTACATTTCTGTAATGTCCAGGAGGAAATACACCATCTTAACCTGGGCTTCTCCCTATGTAAAATATTCTGTGCTTCTCCTCCCTTTCTACTTTCTCACTCAATTCCTTTCACAAGGTGTACCAAATGAGGTGTATCCCTTCCAGGCGCTCTCTTCCTCTGTAGCACATGCCCTGCCCTCCATTCCTGGGAC